GGAGCATTTAAATTTAATGTTCGAAATGAATGTCTTATTTTTAGGAATCGCTCAATAAGGTAAACTAAAGTCCATGACGAAATGTGTATTGCAAAATATATGAAGAAGACAAAAAAGTTGCAACCAAAATCTGAAAACAGTCTTATATCCAGGAGCCATTGTCGTCCAAGTCCAATACATAGTACAACAGAATCGGACATGGCTAATATCCAAATTAACTTGTAAGTCAATTTCCTCCATCTATTCATTCGATATAAAACTAATATCATTCCCAAATTTCTAAATATTCTAAAAATGAACACTATCGGTGAACCTTTTATCCATATCCATTTCATTACGTTTTCAATGGTAAGATTTTCACCATCTGACGTTAAAAAGGTAGCAATAGAAGATGTATCCAAGGTACTGTAACATGTGTAATATTTGACTGTAGAACTGTGTTCTAAGAACCTTTCTGCGTTAAGATGTAATACCACCGAATCATAGTACGTCACATCCGGTTGCCTACGAAAAAGGGGCGAAAAAAATATTCCCTTGAGTTTGACAGTTGTAGGAAATTAATCCTATATGTCATTGCAGTAAACAATTTCCGGGTCATAAACATATATCTTGGGTGTTTCAAAGCACCATTATTTTTTTATTTGGTGTTTCTATAGAATATTTTGGAAACTTGACGTTACATGGTTACTAAAGCTTGTACACAGGTAAAAAAGAGGTGACAATTTGATTGGTTAACTTCCAGTGATGGTTATTTTACTTATATGCAATGAAATGTTATGTAAAATTTTGTCTATAGTACTGGACAGGATAAAACTTTACTCATGCCAAGTATTTTTTTATTTGAAACAAAGATAAATTTAGCACATTTTTTTGAAAATTGCAAATTTAACAAAGACTAATAGGGGAAAATCAATGGTGGTATTACACCTTAAGGGATGACGACTCGAAGGGTTCATTTGTGATAAAACTAACAGATGTCAAGAATGCTGTATTTTGTAAATTTACAAATAATAACAATACATCCGCTAAAACTGATGTAAACATCCAAAAGACATATTGGCTCTATTGTTTATTTAAACGCTCTGGGTTCATAATACACTTCATAATTGCCACAATCTACATCTACATAATTATCTTTCTGTTGTTTAATTATTCCACAATGGAACCTGTTTGACAATTTGATCGCTCAATACGTATTTCAATTATGTTCAAAGTATAATCTATTCAGCCGTATAAATATAATCTTAAAAACATACGACTGTATTTAATTTACGATTAATAAATGCTTGCGAAACACGAAGTTCTAAATATCAAAGTTGTCTATCCGAATACATCCTTGGCTTACAAATATTCGGCATTGAGCGTTCCTGATGAAAGTAAATCCAGAAAAGCGCTAAGGACGTATGTAATTTATAACGTGTTCTTTTCATTTTCATAGCACAGGGTCAATACGTCTTCTGGTGGACTATCAATACCCGAGGGTATCATCAGCTCAGTAATCAGTACTTCGGTACTGACATGGGTAATAGCAAACCTTTTTAAAATTGCCCGTTTATAAATTTTAAAACTACAAAGAAACTTAGGTTTCAACTTCCTCAGGCAAAGTTGACCTTAGATGGATTTAGCTATTTTTTTTATGTTTTTTTTTCATCATACAGCCCTTCAACTATTTCAGTTCTTATACATTCTTGGCTTTCAAATATTCGGCTTTTAGCGTTCCTGATGATGCAAATTCAGAATCATATTTTGGACACATGACATTTATAACGTGTTGCTTTTATTTTTACAGCACTGGATCGATACCTCTGCTGGTGGACTATCAGTCCCCGTGGAGTACTGACATGATTTATAGTAAACCTATCTAAAATTTCCCGTTCATAAATTTATGATATTATATAGAAACTAAGGTTTTTAACTTTCGTCAGGCAAAGTTGACCTAAGTTGGATTTTGCTACTTTTTTAGGTCCTTTTAATTCATATTGCTTTTCAACTGTTTCGGTTCTTATTCAACCTTGGCTTTCAAATATACTGCTTTTTGCGTTCCGGATGAAGGTACATCCAGGAAAGCGCTTTGGACGAATAAAATGTATGATGTGTTTTTTCAATTTTTTGCCAGCAGCGCCTGCATATGTAGTATAGACCTTTTAGTTGATACGATATTCCGGTGCTTGTATTTCCTATTAGGATTTCCTAGAAAGATGGTTACAAGGAAGCTATTCATCAAAAGAGTTACAAGTGGTGACGTTGAAATAATCCCTTGGAAAATTCACAATGTTAGTTGACAGTTATTGAATATCTGTTTCACAGATAACACGGATATATTTCAATTGTCGTAGCCGCAATCTCATTCTTTTTTCCTCAAATATGACCTGCCGTTTGTACATACATAAACAGCACCAGATGCCACATGCGAACACCACCGTTTTTTGTGGGGTTTGTGTTGCTCAGTACTTAGTTTTCTATTTTGGGTTTTGTGTACTGTTGTTTGTATTTTATAATTTTCGTTTTGCAATGGCATTGCAGTTTTTCGACTTATGAGTTTGAATATCTTTCGCCTCTCTTTTTCAAGTTCTCGTATTTATTAAACAATTGTGGTTTCTCTAGAGACGGTAATGGAAAGAATTGATTTTATACTTTAAAATTCATGAATTCCAATTTCCATTATATTGGTATGTTACACTAGGATACTTTCGATTGAAAAAAAAAACATTTAATCAAAAGTATTCAGGACCAATATATTTAACTGTTAGGTAGGGGTTTGCTCTTAAGGGAAGAACGTATGTTGTTTTATAGTGTTTCACATAATTTCTTTAACTTCTCCCTTATATATACATTGTATTGATATTCTGTCACTAGATAATCCACATTTCAATGAGTGCTTACATCTATATAGTCTAGTGAACTTTATTTTAAGAATACTTCCAAGAGTAGAAAGTCTGCTTTATATCTTGATCTTTTCATAATATTGACGGGTTCAACTTATTGAGCAGGATCTTCTTACCCTTCTGCAGTACCTTAGATCACCCACAATTTTTAATCGGGTTCGTGTTGCTCAGTATTTAGTTTTCTATTTTGTATTGTGCATACTGTTGTTAGTATTTTGGTCTCTTTTCGTTTTCTGTCATGTCGTTGTCAGTTTGTTTTCGACTTATGCATTTGAGTGTCCCTTTAGTATCTTGCGACTCTCTTTTGACTCAGATGGGCGGGCAACTTAAACTAAAATTTATGACAAACGTGATGATTTAAGCTTTCCCATACTCAAATGTTTTTCTGTAGTAACATACACCCTGTACTATCATAAGGCGTTTTCTTATCTCACTTTGTACTTTACTCTATGCGTGTAAACAATATACGCATTTCATTAACAGAAGTGTTCTCTTTCACAAAAACTGTTTCAACAGAGTTATGAAAAAGAACGATGAAATCGGCACTTCTTAATGTTCACGGTCGCTATTACAGAAAGGTTGATCGATAAGATGTGTCGGTATCTCAACTCACTAGCGACATGTGATGGCGGTCTCATATATTTGGATTCAAATATGGTCGTGTAATCTGAATTTTTTACCGATTTTGTACTTTTTCAGATTGTGACATTTTGAATAAGTGTGGATTCGCATGGCGGGCGATGCATGCAAAGTAGGAGACGCTTATCCAGTCGACGCACTCGATTTCGTTTCTTTTGGAGTTCATGCGATTCCCACAGTTTAGTTTTGTTGCCTTGGTTTGTCTCTTCATACTCGAGTTACGAGATTTGAACATAGGTAAACGATTATCGTTTAAATCTTGTCCGAATGTCTACACTGGTGAATAGCTGTCTCATTTTCAATCAAACCACATGTTCAATATAGTGTGTTCTCTTTTCAGTATATTCAAAATGAGGTGTTGAACAAGATTTCTTGACTGATTTAGTATTTACATATGATAGTGTGTAAAGGTCATTGTATCCTATGAACACACATTCCTGTTTATATAATCATACTATGATACCTCATTCATGAAGTGTTTTTGTTTCACAATAGACCAATAGTCAAACCAATCAATAGTGCAGATGCAGACAAACTAGGGCAATATGAACAAATAAAATGTAATATCGTAAATAGATATATTGGAGAGAAAATGTATCAGATTAGAAGATGTATAAAAGGAGGTGCTGCAAGCAAAATAAAAACAAATTGCTGTGGTTTATACAGCATATTAAGACTTCAATCTGCCTTTTCAAAAAAAAATTTTAACAGAAAAAGAAATACCAACCTGAAAGGAGAGTGGTGTAAATCCACCAACTTTCAAAAGAAGGTAAATTGTCCCTTGCAAATGTATTAACTGAATAGTAAATAAAGGCAACAGTAGTATACCGCTGTTCGAAACTCATAAGTCGATAGAGATAAAAACAATTCCGGGTTACAAACTAAAACTGAGGGAAACGCATCAAATATAAGAGGAGAACAACGACACAACAAAAACACAACATTAAAATGTAACACACACAGAAACGAACTATAATATAACAACGGCCATTTTCCTTACTTGGTACAGGACAATTTAAGAACAAAAATGGTGGGTTGAACCTGGTTTTGTTGCATGCCAAACCTCCCGCTTTTATGGCAACGTCAAACACAACACCAAAACAACAACATCACATGACAGGACTACAATACAAATAAATGGGAGAACATATAGGACAGAGAAACACACAAATAATAGCTTACAAAAGGTACTAGGCTTAAAATTCAATACGCCAGATGGATTCAATACACACAAGACCAACCAGTGACGCTCAGATGAAAAAAGTTTGAAAGCAAAAACAAGTACAAAGCTGAAGAGCACCGAGGACCAAAACTTCCAAAAAGTTGCGCCTAAGACGGCCAGTGTTTTCTGGCCATACACGAGGAAAAAACAATGGTGCCTAGCAAACTCTAACAGACTTAAAGAATATCTTTTACTACAAATTTCTACAACATGTAAAATTTCAATTCTGTATTCAAAAAGCATAAACAGCAATGTGAAGTATTAAATATTATTTTTATTTTATGGAAATATATACATGTTACATAGTTGAAAAATGTTTTACGTACATGTAAACTTTTTAATATCTTCATTTCAGTAGCATTAGGCTACTTTTATATTTTGACCCTGTGAGTGTAAATTCGCTCTACATGTCTTTAGTTTATAACCCAAGCGTATTTATTAGGACCAGAGTATTTTAATTTTAATCAGGGGAAATTCCAATAGCATTCCGTAAATCAAAATTTTAAAGATTTAGTACATTAATTATGATCTTTGTAATATCTAATTTCTATAATTCATCCTGTTTAAATGTTTCCTCTTTACCAGCAATGTGAAAAGTGTCTTGTTCTGATAAAGAATTGATATTATCTCGTAGTGAAGGAACAGGTAATAACGATATATCTAAGATTTGTGGTGAATGTCGCATATTTCGAACATGTTGATCTGACTCCTGCCATCCAATCGAAACTTCGGAAGTATGAACGTTGTCATTTTGAACCGATGTTGGAACATCAGCTTGCGTTGTCCTGGTTGAAATAGATGAGTTTTGCTGTGTCGACGTCCGCCTTCGTATTCTGAAACAATTATAAACTAAATGTTTTAACAATATCTGAATCATTTTTTCCATTAACTAATGTAGGTAATAAAACATCATTTTTATATCTTGCAAATAGGTAAAATTGGGTGGTCAATTCTAGGAGAGAGAGAGAGAGAGAGAAAGAGAGAGAGAGAGAGAGAGAGAGAGAGAGTTATTTCTATAAACGAAAAAATGTGTCTTCTATAGGCATAATTGTTTGTTTTTTGGAAATTCCGTACAGATTATGGTCTTGAGTAAAATCTTCGACGGGACTTATGCAAGAATGTAATGGGTTGAACCGGGTTTTTGCATGCGGTTAAGTTGTATTCAGTGTCAAGAGTTTAGACGCAATATGAGCATGATGTATCTTTAGGGTTCTAAAGAAACTCTTTAAAAGTTTACAGAATCTACATAATGTATATATTTTAGTATTAACCGTAAAGCAGTGTTACTCAGGTTTCGTCCGTTTACTGCATATCACAATAAAAATGAAAGAAGATCCGCAAGGAATCTAACCTTGAAGATAGGATTGCTTTTTAAATGTACATGTAGCTGTGTTAATATAAACTTTCAGTTGGCAGGGGATTCTTGAAAAATAAGATGCAGTATAAACAATAGGGGAATAAATTATTGACGAATCTTAAATTCCCTGCAATCCTTAACACTGAAATGTAATAATTTGTCGGTTTATGTTATCCTATTTTAATGTTTAAATTCATTTTCAATCAATTAGATAACATTTCAAAATTTATGAAAGATCAGTGACTGCATGCATATAAACTGGTGTGGGCTTTAAAAAATAATTCTTCTATATACTTGGTGTTTCTTTTCGAAATGCGACTCGAAATAAACGTAAATCACAGCTCTTCCTTTTTGTTATTCAAAGATTAAATCAATTAATAAATTGGTAAAATAAATGTGCAGTTTTATTTGAATACGAGATCTTTAATAGCGAGCACAGTGAGATATCAAATAAAAATCTTTAATGTAATCTGTCTCTTTCAGGTTTTTTTTATCAATTTATACTTTATTTGAACGAAATCAACATAAATACATGACATAACAATTATTCTCTTGCTGACTTTAATTTTAGTTTTGTCAGAAATTATACAACTTATTCAAATCAGTAACTCTTCCGTGTCTATGATGAGTTTATTTCTTTAAAAGAAAGCAGCAAAGTAGAACAATGCAACGATATTGAGAAATTTTCAATAGATCCCAACTCAGATTGGTCTTTACATGTTATGGGTTTAACCGTTCAGTGGCACATATTTCACGCATATTTAGGACGACAGCAAATTAAGCAATAAATCAATTAGGTAGGTACTACAAAGTTGGTCAATTGGGATGTGATATATTTTCGGAAAAAAGGGTATGTTTGCTAAAACTAAAAAACAAAAATTACAACAAAAAAAAGATTACAAACGGACCCATCATAGAATAAATGTTAGTGTTTCTTTATTTGGGACAGTGTGATACTCTTCCAGCTCGAAGAATCGGATTTAACAGCCGTCCCCTTTACGATCATATTTGGCTGCGCATTTAAACATCCTGTAAAGCCAAATGGTTGAGATACCTAAATACTCTTAAAAAGTAACTAATACACGACGCATATATTGCCCTACTTGTAGCGTTTTATATTTATTGGTATTATCTGTTTTCATGTAACACAAAAAAGGATAACAAAAATCACTAGACATACTGAACAGTACGAAATATTAAATCAACCACCAAGATCGCGCCCTCAGAACAAAACAGACTCAGAAACAAACACAAACAACAACGAACAACACTCAGTTCAAATACCCTGACACATCGTAGTGGGGATAAAAACAGTTTTACGTGAGCACTAGCTTATAACATTGCCTTTCTAGACTAGGTGTTTAATACTAAAACATACAATAAAATTAAGAAAAGTGCAGCTACCAACACGAAGAAAGTACTTGAACAAGGAAATGTATTCCGCACATAATTTGAAAAGCAGGATGGAAGCTTGCTCTCTTAATTTGATTTTTGTAATTTTATTATTTGCTGATCTGTTTGAAGTAATCTCGTTTAATTATTTTCGTCCTGATATTTTCGGATTCTGACACAAAATATTGGAATTTGATAAATGTTTAATAATTCTCAATTTTACTAAACATGTACGTTTTTATATTAAAAGAATGATATACTAGTACTAGGTAAGATAGTGACTATCAATAACGTAAAACATGGTATTTTATATGAAGAATTCGATTGATAAACTGGGTCTGCTGAATACGGGCCTGCTAAATGCTATAAAGTCAATGGAACTCGTTGGAGGCTTCCTCGTTGTCACACACTTAAATGCATAAGATGATGTGGTATGAGTGCCAATGAGACAACTCTCAATCCAAGTCAAAATTTATAAAAGTAAACCATTATAGTTCAAAGTACAGTCTTCAACACGGAACCTTGGCTCACACCGAACTGTAAGCTATAAAGGGCCCCAAAAATTACTAGTGTGAAACCATTCAAATAGGAAAACCAACGGTCTAATCTATATAAAAAACGAGAAACGAGAAACACTTATGAACCACATCAACAAACGACAACTACTGAACATTTACTCTAGATTCGTATTCGGACTCGGGTCGGAGTTATACACTTATTGTAAATATCTACTAGCAATACGTATTTCCATTATATAAAGCATATTGTTTTTCGATTATTGTACCTTCAATTTTATGTCTTATTTTAGACACTTACTTGAATTTCAGTATAATACCTAATGGGTGCATCCCAATGTTAGTAACATCAAGTATTTAAGAATAGGAAATACTTTGAATAAATTAGATCAAATTTAATTTTAACATATAATAATTCCTTAACGAAATCTAAGACGTATATTATGAATGCTCCTTTTGTTATATTTATTTCCTTTTCCTTAACTTTATAAGATTAGCTAATTTCACAAGAAAGAGTTCTAGCTTAAACATCATTTATCTTGTCAACTGAAAATCTTACAGATTTATCGTATAATAAAATTGAGAATGGAAACGGGGGATGTGTCAAAGAGACAACAACCCGACCAAAGAGCAGGAAACAGCCCAAAGCCACCCATGGGTCTTCAACACAGCGAGAAAATACCGCACCCGCAGGCGGGCTTCAGCTGACTCCAATACAATAATGTATACTAGTTTAAAGACAGTGGAAGTCACACTAAACTCTGAAACATATAAATGAACCAAAATTAATAAACATACAAGACTAACAAAGGCCACAGGTTCCTGACTTCAGACAGATGCAAATATGCGGCAGGGTTAAACATGTTTTTTGAGATCTCAATCCTCCCCCATACCTCTAACTAATATAAGCACACAATCTAGAATCATAGACTTATTAGTAAAACAAATGATAGGCGATTTGACTACTGCAGGAACATTTTGCACGAATTAATTCAACCTTGGGAAGGATAATTATACAGGCTATAATTACTTCATGAATATTTAAAATCTTCAATAAATATCAAGAAAACAATATTTATTACAGATAGTTTTGCTTTTAAATCACAAAAACGACAGATCTTAATAATCTATTAAAAAACAATATAAATTTTTATCGACGTGTACTTATTTCATGCTTCCTTACAAATGTTCAATACATATACATGGATTGAATAAACCACAAAATACTTCTGAAAATAAACCCAAGTACTTTGACTTAAAACAAACATTAGGACTACATGCATTAAATGACTGTCAAGAAGATTGAAGAAAAATATATCGTTCAAAAGTTTTGAGTTAAGCTATTTTATTTCAATTAATAAAACTGTTTACTTTATAATCAATGTTAATACTTCAGTCTAGCCTATTAGAATAAGGCGTATCGGGCTTAAGTTAACGTTGTAATGCAGTTTGAGTGTGTGTAGTACATTTAATTGTTGCCAAGCCGTTCAATAGAACCAATGAAATAATTGAGATTGACGATATACAACAACATATTTCTGGAAAAAAAACCAAGTACATGATCGATGATCTAAAACAATTTAGAAATGTACATTTATTAATGTCTGTCAAAAGAATTTAACAAAAATATACCGTTGAAAGGTTTTGTTTTACACTTTATTTTTTTTAACATTAACTGCAACTGTGTAATTTATAATCAATGCTAATTCTTCAGTTTAACATAAAGTATAAAGGTCGTCATTAAAAGACGAAATTATTTTTTTTATCTACAACATATACTTACATATTTCTATTGCAAATCGCTGGTAGATTCTTTTTAAATGTTGCATTGACGTTGACATAAAAGTAAAAGTTAATTCCATAATTAGTAAACTGAATTAAATACAGAATTGATTCTGAAAGCCCAAGTTGTGCTGATTTTAATATATTCTTTGATGTTGTAAACGAATCAACTACAAAGAAAATTGATATTGGAAATGTAGTTATTAGAAAATATATACTAGTGAAGAACAACATCCGAGTAAGGCTCTTACTACTTCTTTTGTTGCGCTTTTTATAGTCTTTATGATGCATAAATGATTCGTGGTACCGTCCAGAGCTCCGCAATGAGTCTCCAATAAAGATATTCATCATAAACATCAACATAAATGGAAGTAAAGACAGCCATACAAGATCAATGAAAACATAATATTTTTCTTCATAATTGTAAGATTCAGATGATGTGTTATTGCAAACATATTCATTCTGTACTTTCATCAAACCGTTTGTAATAATAAGATGGCCATCGATAAAGAAGCTCAATACTATTGGCACTAAAAGAATTATTTTAAGCAGAGATGAAAATGTTGCTGATCGATAATGTAACGGAAAGCGAGTTTTTACAAACCTATCAACAGTTATGGACACTAGTATCCACGACGAAATATGCATTGAAAAATATATCATAAAGACATCCAATTTACAACCGAAGTCGGAAATGGTCCGAATGTCAAGGTCGAACGTTGCTAGAATCCATCGTCTCGTTAATCCAGTTATAAGTACGGTAGTGTCTGAAATAGAATGAATAAAAAGGAAATTGTAAGTTATCTTTTTCCATTGTTTCATTCGACATAACACAAAAATAATTCCAAGGTTTCCAAAAACTCCGACAATAAATATTATTGGTGCTATAATTCTCCAAATCCATTTTGTAATTTCCTTTAAATGTACTGCATTTGTATCAAAAAGCACATCGGTAATGTTGTCAGAATTATTAAAATAAGTTACAGTTACACAACTTGATGTGAATGAGCACTCTGTGTATGACTCAGTTATATCTATAGTACTGCGTCCACCTGTTTGAAGACCGACAGCCATTAAATGTTTTTTTCTCTACCAACAGAACAGGGTTCTAACTAAAAATAAGTCATCAAACGCTTTCTTATAACAAAACATATAGCATTTACTAGGGTGTATCTTTGCAAGGCAATATTTTGTACATTGTTCGTCACTGATATTCATTTCTTTTTATACATAACAATTCTTCACCTCTACACGGATCATAATCTCTATACTTCCTCTTTAGAAAACTGAAACATTTGAAACACCGTATCACTGTTATAAAACCTGTTAATATCCAATTTGCACCTTTTTGTAAGTGAATAATTCCTCGTACGATTATCTGTAAGCTTATTTGGTTACAGCAGTATCAAAATTAGTCAGTACTCTGTACACTATGTTTGTATAAATGAAATAGTTTTTTTTATTGAAGTGTATATATTTAATGACAGACGACTTGTATTGTATGTGAATAAGGCTCGTATGGTGAATATTTAAAAAGAAAAGCTTTGTCATGGGTATTTTACACGTCTGTTTATCTTAAACCTAAATTATATAACAGAAAATCCACCCTTAATTGCTTTTAAAATGTGGTGTCTAGAATTGATAAACACATTGTACTTCTTTTAACATCTACTAAATTTAAGAAAAGGTTAATGAAATTTAATTAATATGTACATTTAATAAATAATTATTATTTTTTTAAGTTGGAATAAATATTATTGAAATCATAAAGCCGACAAAAACATTCATTATCCAAATACCTCTCAATTAATTGTGCACCATAGAAGCAATGTAACGTGTTTGGTAATTAGACAACTATATTCAAACAAACAAACAAAATACAAACACGAAGACAAACACATAAAAAAGTATAGTGATATCGGTATCATATGTGGGTAGCTTTGATAAAATTTTAATTTTAACAGTTTTATAATCATACGTTTCTAAACGGGTAACTTTTAGATTACATTTCCGTCATTTATTAAAATGTGTGTTTTAATCCGAATTGACTTAAATGTATTGATTTTATTCAGTAGAATTCTATAGCTACATGTAACCTGGTTTTATGATGTAATAGATTTTACATTTGATTATGTGCAAACGTTTCTTTCAAAAACTTATTATTTATAAACCATGAAGTAGATGTGAACATTGTTTGTGTTCATACATAGTTAAATAGTGTTTTGACAGTTATTTAGAATTGCTCAAGGTCAAATACCAATGTGTCGTATTTAAAATGTCATAAGCAAGAAGTCCAACTTGATGGAAGGATTGCACAGAAAACCGTATTCATGTTAGCTATTTATTTCTAATTAAGTGAAGTTTACAATTTCCCGGATCTGGAAATATTCGTCAACAAAATTATTCATAAATAGATATACAACGATAATTATGTTGCTTCGTATTTTTATTATTCTGTGTAGGTATTGTTTAAAGTTGATTTCTTTCAGTTGGTTATCAATCAATTTGTTACAAGGACACAATCCACAGTAATAGAATAATAGAACATCCTATGTTAGCTTCAAACTTGTCTAGTCATTTTCAATAATGTACTCAACATATTCGAAGTGGATGTCTAGTTTTCAGACATGGTTCAAATGTAACACACACTAAAGTTCAAGACGAATGTAAAATGTGCAAAGAAAACACAAACTGCAACCAAAAAGTTAAACTGGAAACAGTCATTTTGTTGTTACCTTGATTCCTTGAACGAGATTTGAACATCGGTAAACTACTGTTGCCTTATTGTATACGAATTTCAAAAGAAAAGCAAATCCATTGTCGTAGATTCACCGATATCTGTTCGTTCAATAGAAAACTATTATAATTTCTGAATTTTCATATCTCCTCCAACAGACTACTCGTTAGCCATTTATCCCTAATCATTCCTCTTTCTCTTCAACTGTAAAAGTGTCACCTTCTGTGATGTTTAAAAACACAGTAATGGTAGAGGAATCATATAGCTAAGTATGGTTACATCCATTTGGTGTAGAAATGTTTCATAACTTTTTCTGTTTTGTAAGGTTTTCTGGTTCTTTTGTAGTGACGTTAGTTGATATCTTTACATATTATTTATTTTGATGCATTAACCATGAACGCTCTTATAATTACAATCCGTCGGCTAACACAACTCAAAATAGGCCAAAATGCACTTTAAATCCCTAATATGACAATAAAAATTAATAAATATAATTGTATAGTATGATATCTCTCTGTGTGACTTCTGAACTTCTCGATTGTCTTCATCTACATGATAAACCTTCTGTTGTTCAATTATGCCAGCAATACATTAATACTAATCTAAATGTTGTTTAAGATATATTTTATTCAGTGGTATAATTATCATATTATTGGCATTTGACTATTGAAATTACGATTTTAAAATGTATTGTTAAAGACACACTGTTAAGTTTCATAATTTATGAACCAATCAAACAAAGTGATAAAGAATAATAGAAGGTGTATGTTGTTTTTATGTCATGAACGGTCGGTGAAGCATTATAAGTGTTTGAGGAGGTTGCCATTCCCTATTCAAATAAACGATTATTTATGATATCGGAAATATTCACATTGTTATTATTTGACAGTTTTAAGATAGAAGATTCTGTAGAAATCAATAACAATTTTGAGGTAATGTTATCAACTTACACTAGGCTCGCGACAGTCAGACACTTTCATACTTTTTAACATATCTCAAAAAGGACTAGTTAACAACCTTTACGTCGCTATACATAGCTTGTTAATATAGATGATATATGAATAGTGAACCCTTAAAGGTGCAATAGTTAACCCATAAATGTGCAATAGTAAACCCATAAAGGTGCAGCAGTAAACCAATAAAGGTGCAATAGTGAACTCATAAATGTGCAATAGTAAACCCATAAAGGTGCAGCAGTAAACCAATAAAGGTGCAATAGTGAACTCATAAAGGTGCATTAGTAAACCCATAAATGTGCAATAGTGAACCCATAAAGGTGCAACAGTGAATTCATAAAGGTGCAATAGTTAGCCCATAAAGGTGCAGTAGTGAACCCATAAAGGTGCAATAGTGAACCCATAACGGTACAATAATGAACCCATAAGGGTGCAAGTGCAATAGTAAATCCATAAAGTGCATAAGTGAACCCATAAAGGTTGAAACGTCGTCTATGTTGAGACCCTGCAAAACGTATAGTTAGTTAAAAATCATGATTGCAGTATTTACGATAAAGGTGTAATTGAAATCAAATAATATAATATTTCAGTTGACTGATTTAAAGATGGAATATAGACACATGACAGAAGCTGGTTTATCAATGCTATTCTAAAATGCGTGTAGAATGTAACATAATTTATAAACCGCATATGATAGTAAGGGCATTATGGTTTTCGGCTCTTGGGTCCATACGGTAGTCCGTCTGTCCTTCTGATATTCTGTTGTCTGTCCCTGTTGGACTTTTAAGATACTTTACCATGAGGATTTGATTATATCAACATGATGGTATAATGTTTGGTATCATATACTAACCTTTTTCAAATATGTGACAAATTAGCGTTTTGACCAAAGGTCGTGGTTCAGTCAACATAAAAATGTAAAAATTTGAGCAGATCATTGTGTTTTACTAACACATGATATAGTTATATGAAACTTGTGTTGACGGGGATAAATTCATTATTCTTTCGTTATTCAGTTTTGCGTTATTCTTAATTAATTTTGCGAGCTTCTACATTTTTTTGTAACCAAATATTCACGTTAGTTGAGGAATGGATTTTACTGAATAATTAGATAATTTTGCCTGAAAATGTGAATAATATTTTCCTATGTATATGTGACGAGAAGATTGCACGAGTCTTCAACTTTATTATGTTAGAAGTCTCTGATTTAATTTCTCTTTCCTCTGGTTAACTTTCAAGGCGGATCAGAGTAACTTTTTATACGGTTTGCTTTTTCTATTCCGATTTGCTTGATAGAGGGCTATTGTCAAGAAGGATGTAATTGAACCAAAGGTCTAAAATGATAAAGTTGAAGTGATCCTTTTTATGGACGCTATCGTGATTTGTCTGCTGTGTAAAAGCTAGGCCACTGATTAACACGGGTTTATTCCTCCTGTTGTAGCTATATAGTATCCATGGTTTCTGTGATTATGAGATCACCTAATGCAAATAATCACTAAAAGTTATTCATACTCTTAACGACGAGACATATCAAATAGAAGGACACGTACCTTGTATCTTGCCAGAGCTGCTGGGTTTACCCAAGTGTTTCTATGGTTCATTTTGATCAATCTTTCTCTTAAAACAAAAACAAACAATCCATCACAAACAAATCAAACAATTCGATTGGTTTCCGGATAACAACTTTGTTTTTTCTATAAAGCTATGATTTTCTGTTTTCTCTCATTTGTTTTGAAATGGAAGCTACTTACCTTTAGCACAAATACCAGATTTACTAGTAAAATATAACTTACTCGTAATTAAGTACAGTAGATACGGTTTCGTCTACATACGAGTGATAAATGGCAATCAAACTAATTGGAAGTCCAGATTAAATACGAAAATGAAAAGCAATGACGTATATCCATTTTCGTCATTTTTACTTTATAAAATTTGTCATACCTGTAGTTCAATTCATTTCAGGTAGGCCATAACAACATCCTTTTTCTCCATTCGTTTGTCCATTTCGTAATCTTGGATATGCATGATGGCTCGTCTTAAACCTGGGACATGTTCACAGCTGTGGTTTAATTTTCGGTTAACGAAGTGTAAATAATTTTATCACAAATTTGGAAAGGCCCGCGTAATGCAGCTTCGAATTCTGCAAGTAAAACATTGCTCTTTTCACATTGTTAAATTCTCTGGAAACTCAGATCTTACCGAACACTTACTAATCAAATAGTTTTTATATTTTTCTTTCTGGTTTTCTGCTCTTTAGAAAGCTCAACTAGTAAAGCTCAATCAGTTATCAAAATTGGCCAATTGTCCAATATCATTGCATAGAGTTTTTTAAATTTCATATCTAATTGTGTTTCTCATTTTTAGGCGCATTAAAAATATTGAACCAATTGTTCCTTCCTTGACTATTAAGTGCTCATGTTTCTTTTCTACTTCAACATTTATACAAGGACAACAGATCTGTTTATAGACAGTTATGAATGACAATGATTTAAAGTTTGACATTACATTTATTGAGTCATGCATGGGACAAGACAAATCGGAAATAACAGTAAACATATAATTTTTGTTTATCTATACATGAAAGTTATTCTTTGGTCCAATTTGAAGATGTTTCTATTTCATTTAATGTGGAAATGGAGTGCTTATGTTGACATTGTGTGTTCCATAATATATTACGTTCAGACAACTGAATTTTTTCTATTGTCTGTTGGTCATGTTCCTTATTTTCAGACATCGAACCGTTTTCAATTGGTATATCAGCCTTTGCTAATGTTGAAACTCCGCTACACATGGATACTGAGTGCGATTTTAATGAAAACCTGCAATGTTACCGTTTTAATACTTTAAATGTTGTAAACTGAAAAACATTAATATTTTTTCTAAAAAGGCGTGATTCATAATAAATCATACAAAATTATACATGTTTGTCAGAAATCAGATATTTTTTTTAAATTAATTTAACATTTCCGAGTACAGAATTGACTCGTTGTGGCAGTTTTGTAGTAAGCAATTAAAATGTCAAGATTAATGATCATTTTTGTTTAAAAAATAGTTAAAGTGTTGTCAAAACATCATGAACAGTAAGCTACTAATATGTTTCTTCCTGTTTAAATTTGTATTCAATTTTCACGCTGGCATTTATATCTTTTATCATAAGGCGTTTACATATCTCAATTGATAGGTTACGCTCGTGCATTTTCACACTATACGAACTTCATTAGCAGGGTTTTGCGCCTTACAAACAAAACTGCTTCCAAAGAGTTATGAAGGAGAACGACTTAAATCGGGCTAGATATGTTTACAGGTCACCCTTACAAATTGGTTCACCGATACAATATGTGTCTCGACTCCCTAGTGATATGATGTCACACTCTTAAATCCTCAGATACCAGACTAGTCCGATTGTGTCCTATTCCTGATTATGACATTTTGACTGAATGTGGATTCGTATGGCAAGTGATGCATGTATAGCATGAGACAATAAACCTTTTGCCATTCCAGATCTCGCTCCTTTTAGAGTTCATGCTATATCCTCAGATTTGTGTTTGTTTTTCTTAATCGATTTATGAGATTTGAACATCGGTTAATTACTGTTGCCTTAATTTGAACATATTCATTACCTGTGTTCATTAGTGATGTAATCAAACTTTCTGGGTTTCCCCTTTTTTAGATTAAATTTCCGTTTCGTCTTACATTCTGTTACATTGTTGGACTCAAAATGACAACTTACAGAAAGAAAAACGTACGTGTGACAGGTACTTCAATTTTTCATTGACTGATTGAATTGTTTCATTTGATTATTAATCTGTATACATTACACACTATTCAAAAACTTCACGAATGTACAGTTAAACTGTTTAAGTATTTATCATGTGCTTTTTGTAAGCTGTATAATTGTATAGATAGTACAAACGTTATCATTTTAATTATACATCTCTTCTTTTAAAGTGTAATTGTTTGATAGAATAAAAGTTTATACTCAACATATTTACACTTTTAGAAACCTAAACTCATTGGTAAGGAAATACCCCAGCAACACGGTGAATGGGAAAAAAATCTAGAAACAAGACACAAATGAAAAGAGCATTGAAAATCAAAACAAATCCTGACATTTAGCCAAAATCCGGGAGTATAAAACCGCTGCTGCGGTAGTGTTTTTATCCCTTGTCTATTAAGCTTACTACAACAATCGAGAACATGACCGCCATGTAGACTCAAAAATAGCTAGTTGAACTCCACTTATTATTACTTTTGTTTATACACACATAATAACCATATACATCCCGACAAATGAATCAATAGAAAATTATAATTGTTTTATTTGCGGAACTCTCGATTGACAGTTATGATGAAGTCAACTTGAATTTAAATGAGTGATCGTTTTTGATATACTATAATTGATATTGAGTTCTATTGGCACACAAAGTCAATAATATCCATAGACAAAGTTGTAATTATGATTTTCTTTGAATTACAATATCAATTAGACCGAATCAGTTTC